TTCCGCACGATGTGTGAGTGAGCTGGCAGCACTCTCCGCTGATCCCCCCTATACCTTATTTACTGAGTGGGGAGTGACACTTCGCATTCACCCAGCCTTTCTGCCAAAGGTTAATTCGGAACCTATAAGTTTACCTACCTTTTACCCAAAACCACATTCCACCACGGTGAAGATGCGCCTACATATGCTGGACGTAAGGAGAGCACTTGCCTTTTATCTAGAGAGGACGCACCCTTTTCGAAAATTGGAGAATCTCTTATTATCTGTAGCAGATCATTCTAAGGGCCAGCAACTTTCCTCACAACGTATTTCCACTCTCATCGTTGCCTGCATCCCTCTTTGTGTAACAGATCATTACTTTACAGACCGAAGGCACATTCTGCTAGAAGCATTGCTACTTCCACAACCTTTCTCAAGTGTGTACCATTACATGACATATGCTGTGCTGCTACCTGGTCCTCTACCTTGACCTTTGCCAGACATTATGCCCTTGCAAGCACGCTAGCGACCAACACAACAGTGGCTCAGACAGCCTCTCCACCGTGTAGAGACCTTGATTCCAAAGCACCATACTACTGCCGAGCCACTGCTTTATACTCACCTTTAGTGGAGCACCCACGGGGATACTACTCGATGAAGAAGAAAGAGTTACTCACCTGTGCAGTAACCTCTGTTCTTCGAGATGTGTCCCCCTCTGGATGCTCCATGACCCGCCCTCCTCCCTGCTTCAGAACTACTGTCTTTGTGTTTTTCAGATGGTTCCGGCTAGGAAGAACTGACGGGCTGGACCGTGCGTCACAGAAAGGGCGCGAACGGCATAAGACAGCGTCTGCGCATGTGCAGTCCGGCGGAGGGCAAGCGGCAAGCCCAACACCTTTAGTGGAGCACCCATGGGGACACACATCTCAAAGAACAGACATTACTGCACAGGTGAGTAACTCTTTCTTTCCTCTCAGCTCATCCTCTCTGTATTACCCTGAGACATTACTTTGCATAACTTCAGTATACAGTAGTGCCTGCTCTGCTGTCCATTCCCCTATGACTCACTTGAGCTAAGGGGTTGTAAACATGTCTGAAATTAGGGTATGTCTACACTACCCCCCTAGTTCGAACTAGGGGGGGTAATGCAGTCATACGGAGTTGCAAATGAAGCCCGGGATTTGAATTTCCCGGGCTTCATCCCGGCCTCCATTTGCATAAAGCCGGCCGGCGCCATTTTTAAATGCCAGCTAGTTTGGACTGCGTGCCGCGCGACTACACGCGGCACGAAATAGCCGGCATTTAAAAATGGTGCCGGCCGGCTTTATACAAATGAAGCCCGGGAAATTCAAATCCCGGGCTTCATTTGCAACTCCGTATGACTACATTACCCCCCCTAGTTCGAACTAGGGGAGTACTGTAGACATACCCACAGAGAGTTGTCTCTAGCCCACAGTATGTTCAGAGGTGCCAATTCAAAGTTTCTAGTGGTCTTGATTGCAAGAGAAAAGTTTGAAAAAAAAAAGTTTGAGCACCCCAATGGCTCTGAAGTTGAAAACAAATAAAAAGAACCCCCATTTTTAATTTAAAAAAACTCTCGTAATTTTTAAGCCACTATTTTTGTGGCCCTGACTTGATTTATGTAGTATTTGGAGTTGGCGACACTGTTTAATGTCCCAGCCAACTGTGCTGTAGAAAATGTTTGGCATCCACTCTTAATACCTCTGTTTAGAAAATTAGGACTAAGAACGGTATAGATTCAAAGCCCTGTTTGATTTGGGATTATAAAGTACCATGGCTTGACTGAAATGGGAACAGGCCAAGAAACTTCCCCCTTGCTCCTCCAGCAATTTGAGGACATTAATTCAATGAAGCACATATGACAGAGGAAAATAACTAATGGCTTATAAGTTTTGCCTGCTTCTTTCTGCTGCAAGTTCTGACTGTCACTACAGTAGCTCTAAAATGTGATATTGTAATGAATATTGCTGTCTGGGCTGCTATTCAGTGACCAAATCTTAAATTGTATCCAGGCCATTCTTTCCTCAGGAATTCATAGACTCACGTAGTGCTCCTGTCTCTTCTGTGTTCCAAGGACCAAATTATATTGTTTCAAGAAAATTGCTGGGTAATATACTCTAGAGCAGAAGTATCATATTTTTGGGGGAAATGAATTCTGCATAGTTTGCTCATTCCCTGATCGGCAGTACTAAACCTGGAGGCCATGTAGACTCATTCTGTACTCCCCCCACATGTCAACTTTTCATCCTACCTGGTGTGTCAGTACAGCTGGTTTGTCCAAACATTTAGCAAGCTGCTTCCAGTCGGAATTAGATCAGGTCTCTCATAAATAAATCCTGTACAACGGCTATGGCATTCACTTCTGTCTAGGTAATTATATGCCTGAGCTACTAGGGTGTCCATTTGGTCCATCATAGTCACCTGTTTGCATGTTAGAACTGTGCACATCTGCCCTGACCTTGAAGTTATGTGCCCAGTGTCCGTGACTATCCTAATCCAGAGATGAACTCTGTGTTAACAACACACATGTTTCAAATGCAACTTTAGGCATTGGACGCTGGACGGAGATTTTCCCACTGTATTCCAGTGACTTGCCTTGTGACATTGAACAAGATACTTCACTTCTTTGCCTCTGTTTCCCTATCTGTAAAATGGAGATAATGATGCTTCTCTTTCTTTGTGGAGTGCTTGAAATCTATGGACAAAATATGCATATAAAACTATTATCATCTTTATCACCTTAGTGCCACTCTGGGTATAAGGAATTTTGAGCATTAAGAGCACTCAGATATCTTGGATACTTTTGCTTTGCAACTCTAAATTGCTAAGAAGTCTGTAGTCAAAGATACTTGTTAAATATTGTCAATGTATACACACATAAGATGCCTTCCAACAACCTAAATCTTTTCTTTAACTTACAATAAAATATTTGCAATTTCTTGTTGGAACTCAAAGGCAGTCCAAATATTTTGTTTATTTTATTACAAGGCATGTAAGTAAAAACTTGCATATTCTATAAAAGCTATTAAAATAGTATTAACGTGTTTTTCATAAGAAATAAATACATTTTCATCCCCAATACTAAAAATGCTAATTGCTTTGCAATGAAATAAATACAGCACAACTCCAGCATATGTAAGTCTGGGTATAAAAAAAAATCCATGTGGTTTCTTAGAAAAGAACAGGTGGTTTTACAGTTTGGCATCTCTCATTTGATGCATTTTACATTTTAATCTGTTGTTGACAGGCTTAGCATATGAAAATCAGAGGGGAAAATGGTTTGGCTATGAGTTTTTCCATTTAATATTAAATTTTCAAAAGAAAAAGATGTGTATGTTCAGAGGTGCTACTCCTGGAAACAAGACAGTGTCTCAGTGGTCATTCTCCAGAAATGCAGATTTTGGGTGAATAAGAAAATCAGACCATCTAATTGGCAAAGAATCAGTTCCCAGTGAATTGATCATTTCATTACACATTTTTCCAAAAATAATAATAATTAGAGAAATGAGAGGGTGTGATTCGTTTCCCAGATTGAGTGATATCCAAAGGCAACAAGAGAAACAAGAAATACATTTTAAAACACACCCTGCTTAACTTTAGGATGCTCTGGTGTGTAAGAGAAAGCTTTTTTAAAAACTACTGAAAAAATTAAGACAGACTTGTTTTCCATGCATTGTGCTGTGCTAATTGCCAGCACATTTTGTCACAATCACAACTGTGAATCCAAGTAAAAATGTTTTCCTTGAAGTCCAATCTAATATAGATTGATTATTTCCACAATGTAGTTAAATAATGTCCACAGAAGAGAATCTGTCTCAGTCCAGCCTTCTTAAAGTACTGATAGGTCGTGGCATGACTTGGACTTAAGTTTGAAGGCCATATTCTTATTGTTCTTGGCAACTATTTTGCCCCAGAACCTCCTGGCTTTCTTAGGAATACTCTCTCTCCTCTTCTGATATGCCAGCCTCCTCTGGTTCTTTTCCTTGCTGTCCCTCCTTAGCCGGACTTGCCGCACAATTCCTTCAAACAGTTCCTTCACGTTGTGTTGGACAGCTGCAGAGGTCTCAATGAATTTACAGTCGAACACAACAGCACAAGCTCGGCCCTCTGTAAAATTGTAAGGATTGATATCAGTTGGCATCGCGTTCAGATAGTGCACATATTCCCAAAGCCACTGAACACAGTGCCACGCACAATGCAGCATCTGAGCTATCTGTAAGTGCCCTAAATAGAGTCACTTGCACTTCAGGGAAACCTCAGTGGCTGATGTTCCAAGCAGTGAGCTTACCATTATTGAGAGCAAGATATTGCTTGATCTATTTACAGTCATATTTTCAAAATGCAGCATTTAAGATTGCAGGCATAATTTTGCACATGCCAAACCTCAGGTATCTACATGCACACTTAGGGTATGTCTACACTGAAGTAGAAACCTGCAGAGCCCAGGTCAACTGACTCAGACCCACAGGGTTAGGGCTGCATAGCTATACAATTGCTGTATAGATGTTCAGGCTTCAGGTGGAGCTTTGAGTCTCCACCTTGCAGTCTCACAGCCTAGGCTCCCCCAAGTCCAAACATCCCATTGCAATTTGATAACCCTGCAGACTGGGCCTCAGTGCATTGTGACAGGGACCAGAATGTGGGATTAAGTCCAGATCAGCTTTCCTTTTCCCCTCCATGCATGGGGACCTGGAAAAAGATCTGTTGGAGAGACTTCTTTGAAGAGAGAAGAGAGGATGTACCTTTGGAAAGGTCAAGCTCTACAATCATTGGCCATGGGACTGGGTTGAAACCTGAGCTGGAGGAGTTTCCACCCCTTTCTGGTTGTATTATGCTGACCTATTGTGTTATGCTGTTGTAGACACTGCACATCTGACACTCAAGGATACAATTCCAGGAAGAGACTTGATCTGTCTCCCATTAAAGTCAATGAGAATCTATTAATTTACGTTTATGGGAGTTGAATCAGGATCTTAAACTGAGGGGGTGGAGGTCCGCACTGGAGGACGTTTGAGGATGGCGGCGCCCGGCTATATGCGGGTGGGGCCCGGGAGGTTCAAGTCCCGGGCTTCATTTGCGGCTCCAGTTGCCTACATTGCCACCCTGGTTCGAACTGGGGTGGTGGTGTAGACATACCCTGAGACATAGGTGACAGGATTATTCTAGGAGGGGTGGGTGAGATTCTGTGGTCTGCACTGTGCAGGGGGTCAGACTAGATGATCATAATGGTCCCTTCTGACCCTAAAGTCTATGAGTCTATGAGGTTAAGGGTTTTTTGTTTGTTTTTTTGCTGTCAAACCATTCCACCCATTCTCAGATGTAGAGAATTCCTGCCATCAGTGGGAATTTGGCATGCAGGCCTGGAACAGTATCCGGCTCGTAGTATTTCTTCATACCTGCCACAGAGACTTCACGGCACCTGACAAGATCGCTTTTGTTGCCCACTAAAATAATGGGAATATCTTCTGTTTGGCGTGCCTTACGGAGCTGAATTCTGAGTTCAGAGGCTTTCTCAAAGCTCACTCGGTCTGTGATGGAGTAGACAATCAAATATGCATCTCCTATTTGCATGCAGTGATCCTGAATCCATTCATTTTCACTCTGGTAAAATAAAATAGATATAGCCAGGATTAGCTAATGCATGGCTTTCTTAACTGGAAGCCTTACTAAGAGTTTACCAAAAAAATGTAGCATTACTCAGTTCAAATTCAACCATAGTATAACTGCTGGGTATGATTCTGATCACAGTTACACAGTATAAAACCAAAGTAACATGGATATATACCCACACACATCAGGGCAAAAATTGGCCAATAGACTTCATTAGATTTGTGTTTGTTAGATTAAATTTAGCTCTGATGAGGTTTCCAGCATTTTTGTTTTTAATAATAAATCAAACAAAGGAATAGCTGCTTTTTCAAACTTACACGGAGGAGCCTAGGCATTTTTAAGGAGCCATGCTTTCACTGAGTACAGAATTATGGGTCACATTTCCCTACTTGTTCAGCAAAGGCATGCTCCTAGCAAATCTATAGTATTATAACTGCTCCTTCATACTGAATTTCCCTTTGGCGCTCAAATAGAATGGCTGGAATGGAGTACTGTACCTTATTTTCCCACATGTCAAGCAGGATAATGGTTGTGCTTTCACCATCTACCATCAAGGTTCGTTCATATGTGTCTTCTAGGATAAAAATCCACAATGTTAGTAATACAGCCCTTCCTGTTGTCATACAAGTAGCAATAAAGAAAAATAGCCATGTGCTTATAATATAAGTTGAATTCAGTGAGCCCAGTTCACTGTTGGTGCAAGACCATTGATTTCAATGGAGTTATATCCATTTCCACAGGGAGTGCATCCGGCTCTATGTCTCTCTACTGCATTTTTTTCTTCATTTTCATGATAAATGAACAAGTCCGAAAGATTTTGCAACTAATGTGCATTATTTTGGCTCAAAAGCTTTTTATCCTACATGGGGGATGGGGAAGAGGAATATAATCAGTGAAAGAAGCAAATCAAATTCTGAACAGTTGACCCCCCTGGGAGCAGCCGACAGACGTACAGACTCCAGCAAGGCTTAGTAATGGAAAATATTTGTTTTCACTCCAGCAGGGACCCTTTATGGGTGAACAATCACTGCTGCTCCAAGCAGTTCAGCCATCAAGCAGCTCTAGCAACAGGCAGTGGTGTGTTCGGCAAAGGCTGTTGGGCTCTATAAAATAGATGCTGCTGTTGCAATAAAGACCTCTGAACTGACCCTAGATCCCCTGACTCTAGTTTGTCCCATGGGAGCGCTTCTCACTGAATGTTCGCCTATGGACATTAAAGAGAGGATGAAAGCATTTCATGGTAGTTTCATAGGTTGCAGCAGAGCCTTCCTAAACCTGGGCAAGGACCTGCAAAATTCATATCTGGATTTTAAACCCCACAATGTTCAGAGGCATTTAGATCTGAGGTTCATGGTAAACTCTTATAAAGACCAAGAACCATTGTGAAATTTGTATCCAGACCCAGATTTGGATTCCAATCCCCATCCTTTCACTCCCTCTGAGTGTGGGGTATTTAAATGCTTGGCTTTGGTTTGGACCCATCTCTACTGATGTATTCCTGCCAGCAGCAATACAAGACAACATTGGGGCAAACAGCTTCTGAACTGCTTTAGATTCATCACCATGCCATTCAGAGGACCTATCCAAACCATTCCAATAGAAGATATTACTATAGTTTAAATAAAGGCTTTTGCCTCATAAGGTGCCACTGTGCTTTTCTGAAGTCATCTTTTCCCAAGTCCTAACCCTGAAAGCCAGAAAACAGTGAGTCCGTGGAGTAGAACAGTGCTGCTCAACTTTGGAAGCCCCGGGGGCCACAATGATACTCACAGCACATGTCGAGGGCTGCAACTTAAGTGTGGTTGCATATACATGTAAATATATACACAAATAGCTTTTTTCACACTGACGGGCATGAATACAAAGATTAAGGCAAAACTATACAACTCGCAGGACCCATTTAAGTCAGTTCTGCTGATATTAATAAAATGCAATATGTATCCAATTTCCACCCATATGACAGCTCTTTTAATGAGCAATGACAGTCCAGGAATTTAACTACTAAAATGCACATCAACAGAAGCCCATTATATTGACTACTTTTTTGTTTTGGCTCCCACCTGCAGGCCGCGTGTTGAGTAGCCCTGGAGTAGAATGAACCAAGGGCACTAAAGATAAAGCCATATGTGGGTGTGTTTTTTTTAAATCAGTTCTACCACAGAAACTTTAAAATAGAAAACCCTTTGTAAACACAAAGGCACTGGGCTGACAAAGTTGGTAACCAAGGAATAGATGGGTCTAAATAGAGGAAAGCAAAAAGAAAACACTGACCCTCAGTTTCACTCCTAGCCCCAAGAGGTTCTCCTTGGTGCTTGTGCTTCACATTAATACCAAAACAGCACCCAGCATATAGCATAAGCTATTTTCTCTCTCTGTACTGGGTATGGCTATTGCATTCTTGACTTTCTGCAACAGTTTTCCAATTTGCAGGCTACATTTTCAAGTGTAGCTTCTTCAGTTGTACATGCAAGTGTGTGTGAATGGGAGCAAAGGGGTAACTGGTTACATAAACAACTGCATGCACAGGGGGAGCACTAGACAGCCATTTCTGAAAATCTACCTGCCTCTAAATGTATAGGAGCTACACATAATTAATCAAGTTACTTGAAAATGCTATGCATAGCGGGCAAGATTCAATGCCAATTTATAGCCCAGACAATCCTAACAAAGCTAATGGCCTTGCCCAGGATGGAAGGCAGCGCTAAATGTGACCCATGGGGTGAATAAGTCATTCCAAAACTACTTCAAAGCTGACACTAACAAAGACGAAATATAATAACTGCAAGTGTTCTAGTATCTCAGCGCGCTTGGTTTTGAGATTCTGTCATTGCCTTACTGCAAGCAGCACTGATAGCAAACTGAATGCAAAGAAGCAGCATATCATTTAAACTGAGGGGCATGAAATGTGCGGCGTGGAAAGTGGAATGTACAAAGCAAGAGAACTGTACTTTGGGCAAATGTCTGAGTCCAGCAGAGGTGAACAGATTGCAGGCTGTAGAAGGCATAAAGCTCATCTTCACACGCTCCCCTCATCTTGGGGGCTGCTCTTCGGAGGACTGGCCCTCTGGAGTAAGTTCAGAGCAGCTTGAAGGCTGCTCTAGCTTACTCTGGCTGCTGGCACCTCCCAGTATTTGGAACAATAGCATAGGAGCATCCCAGCCAGGTCCCCTACTTCAGCAGCAAGAAAGCAGAGTAAAACGGGCACTGCTACACTGATTCTACACTAATTGGAGGATCCTTTTGACCTGGGATAATCCTCTCAATGCTGGTTACACATGCTGTAAGGACACGTGCTGCCAGCGGTGCAGCAGAAAGCACCAACACCCAACAGACTTTCTGGCCCATCATATGCCGTAAAGCAGCTGTGCACAATTCCACTCCCTTGGAATAATTTTCAGGTAAGTAAAATATTATCATTGTGTTGGGGACGATTCCACATGCACCCCTTCCTATTTCAGAATTATAAAGGTGAGTGACTAGTCTTGGTGCCTGGGCTAGAATATTTTTGCTAGTCTGTAAGAAAGAAGAGTGACCATACTGCTTGTGCCATGCTGTACTTTATGTGCTGCTGGAGTGTGGGTGGCACAGTGGCTAGAAGGCTTTTCCAGCACAAATGAGGTGCTGCGTGATTACAGGAATACTCATTGGAAGATGAAAGCAAGAGACACCTGACTGGCTGATCCGGGTGCAGTACATCAAGGGGGTCCTCACATTCTTCTCAGAACCCCAAGATTTGTGTTTCTAGCCTGTGGTCATAGACAAGCGGGATCTGGGCCTGTATTTTTCATTGTTCCACACAGCTCCTCCATGGGGGTATCACACACCACAAAATATGGCCCAGGGATTAGTGCTACTGTTTGGACTTTAGCCTTAATTGATCCCTGGGAGTATGAAAATATGAGTTCCCTCACTCCAAGGCAGAGGTGAACAGTAAAGGTGAAGATACCTAGCAAAGAGCTGAAGACCATGTAACCCTCCTCTCTTTCCCCAAATTAATTGGGGAGCTCCATTTTTTCCTCTCACGACTGAGGCACCATGATCTGCTCTTCACTTGTGAGAAGCAGGGGTGGGGGGCTCTGTGCTATGCAGGTTATAGGAAATGCTGATGAGAGGAACTCAAATAGGGGCCATTTATTTGCATACAAATTTGGTGAGATTACTTAATGACCAGCGAGTATTTTGGTGGCACCTATAAAGCAGGGCAGAGATTTGGGGGTTTTCGACCTTATCTCTTGCTGATCTGTAACTCTTAACAGTTTCTTTAAAATCCCAAATGAATGTAGGCACTGATTTCTCATAGAGCAATAATATCACAAGGCCAGCAGTGCAGTTTATAGGCCAGGATATTATCTCACATCAGGCTAGAGCAGGACCTGATCCACTGGAGCCTGGACTTACACCAGTGTAAAACTGAGGGTACGTCTACACTACAGCGCTAATTCGAACTAACGCGTCTAGAACTAAAAACTAGTTCGAATTAGCGTTTTGCTAATTCGAACTAGCATGTCCACATTAAGTGGACCCTGAACCGGGCTTAAGGATGGCCGGAAGCAGTGCCGGCAGGGCATCAGAGGAGGACTTAGAGCGTGGAGATGCTGTCTCAGGCTAGCCGAGGGCTGTGCTTAAAGGGACCCGACCCCCACCCCGGACAGACAGTTCTCAGGGGTGCCCCGCTTGCAAAGCAGTCCTGGCTTGGAGTGCCCGGAGTGCCCACACTGGGCACATCACACCACTCGGCCATCAGCCCGGCTGCACTTGCCGCAGGCTGCCATCTGGGGAGAGGGGGCAATTGGGGGGCTGCAAGAGAGCTTCC